ATACAGTAAGCTGCAGCTGTGGTTCCCCCAACCCCGTGAGCTGGAGCTGTGGTCTTCTCCTGTGAGCTCGTTTTAATTGTGGTTGTACTCTCCTGTGAGCTGGAGCTATGGTCTCCCCCCAGGGAGCTTGAGCTGTGGTCCCCTCCACTGAGCTGGGGCTGCAATCCTCTTCTGTGATCTTTAGCTGTGGTTCCCCTCCAGTGAGCTGAAGCCATGGTCCTCTCCTGTGAGCTAGAGTCATGGTCTTCTCCTGTGACCTGGAACTGTGGTCTCCCCCAGTGAGCTGTGGTACCCTCCTGCGGGCTGAAGCTGTGATCACATCCTGTGAGCTTTAGCTGTGGTCTCCTCCTGTGAGCTGCAGTCATGGTCCTCTCCTGTGAGCTGGAGCTGTGGTTCTCTCCTGTGAGCTAGAGCTGTGATTCCCCTCCAGTGAGCTGGAGCTGTGGTCCCCTCCAGTGATCTGGAACTGTCGTCCCCTCCAGTGAACTGGAGCTGTGATCCTCTCTGCTGAGCTGGAGCTCTGATACCTCCTGTGAACTGAAACTGTGGTCCTTTCCTGTGGGCTAAAGCTATTGTCTTCCCCTGTGAACTAGAGCTGTGGTTCCACTCCTGTAAGCTGGATCTATGGTTCCCCAACTGTGATCAGGAGGAATGGACCCCTCCTGTGAAATGTAACTGTGGTACCCCCATAATAATATGGACTCCCAGTCCCAGGAGGGATGATCAGAATGAACTGTGCTTTGTCAGTGCTCATCCACCATTGAAGATTAATCCATCTTCCAACTCTCACCAGAGAAGTTTCCTAAAGAAGCAGCTGGTGGTTGACCTGGAAACTTATACCTTTCTAATGTGTGGGGAGAAGTGGCCTTCAGACCACTTATCACTGGGTTGGGTGCCTCTGCAAGGCTTCTGGAGTGAAGGACTTGGGAATCATTGCAGAGGAGGAGTTGGAAAGATTGTAAGAGCCAGAGGTGGTAGATGACTATGAAGGGGGCAGAGTTCTCCAGACAGCTGGTCAGTTACTCATACAAACTCACAGCAATGGTGACAGCATGCACAAGTCCTATGCAAGCTCCAGTGG